GTCTCTGAACTGGAGAAATTCATACTTATCAATTATTGAGCATATATTAAGTGCTTGCTATGTTCCAGGTTCTGTGCCAAGTTTTGGGGATACAAATCCAATCAATAAAAAAAATCCTTTATCTGAAGGAAGTTAGCTTCTGATAGAGAACACAAGTATATAGAGAAGCATATGATTTATAGAAGTATCAGAATGTCTAGAGAATAAATAGAAATAATAACAAAATATCCAAATACTTTGGGCAGGGCCCTCGAAGCTAGAGAGATTGAGAGACTTCACATAAAAGGTGGGGTTTGCACTGTGTCTTGAAGAGAGGGATTCTGTAAGGCAGAAATAAGAAGGAAGATGTTGGGGGAGCTAGGTGGCACAGTGGATAGAGCACTGGCCCTGAAGTCAGGAGGACCTGAGTTCAAATCTGGCCTCAGACCTCACACTAGCTGTGTGACCCTGGGCAAGTCACTTAACCCCAATTGCAAAAAGAAGAAGAAAAAGAAGGAGGAGGAGGAGGAAGATATTCCAGGCATGGGACATGGCCAGTACAAAGGCATGGTGATTGGAGATGCAGTCTCCTGTATGAGAAGCAGAGAAGGCCAGTTTGGTTGTATTGCAGAGGGCAGGTGTGGGGGTCATGTCTGATGAGTCTGGGAAGATGGGTTGGGGCCAGGTTGTGAGGATCTTTCACCTCTAATCAGAGGAGTTTATGGGAGATCCTCCAGTGGAGGTACTGAATTTCATTGAGTGGTGAGTAAGATGGTCAGATCTGTGTTTCAAGAAAATCACTTTGGTATTCTTGCAGAGGAAGGGCAGGACAAGGAGAAACTTGAGGCTGGGAGACCATTTAAGAGAGACTTCTGGCCATGACAGCTGCCTGAATGGAAGGCAGACTATTTTGTTCACACATACCAACTCCAAAAAACCCCTAAAATTCATGCCAAACCAAATAATGATCATATTCACTGAGAAACCTCAGTTATTGACTTATTTCAACCCAGAACTGCACAAAAAGTAGCAAGAAGCCCACAGAAGACCACCATAAAAGCCAGCACCCACGCAGGTAAGTCCAGACTCCCAAACAGACCAGCACAGGGCTAAAGATACATGTAACCATTCATAACCCACATAGAAAGGCACTAAAAGTGGAGGGACTCTAAGGAAGACCCAGGGATTCAGAAAGCTCTCCAGTGAGGGCCATGGAAGCCCTGAGGAATGGTACCATGGTAGATAGGAAAAAGTTAAAAAGAAGAGGATCCCAAATCCTTCATAAATACCCCAAGAGATGCTCTACCCTACTAATAGAGTGGAACAGAAAGGAAGACCTCTAGACTCCTCCAACCAAGCCAGAAATCCACAAAGGGACTGAGCTAGGAGTGCTACAGAGATTCTAGAACAGATCATTGGGGGATTAGAATGGCCTCTGGCACTCTTAGGGTAGTTCTATCCCTCCCTGCCTGAGCTCCCAAGTCCAGGCCATTCTGAACCTTCCCTGAGGCTATGCTGCAGGAGAGGAACATGGGCTTGTTCTGCAAGGTCCAGCAAGGCACTCCTGGCAAAATAATCTAAGGCCAGCCCAGTCCCAACAGGAGTGCAATGCAGTGAACCTAGCAGAGAGACAGCAGCCTTGGGGCATCCCACACAGAGCTGAGAATGGTGTCGGTAGCCAGAGCCAAGTTTAGGGAGAAAAGCCCTAGGCAAAATTCAGCCTGAATTGTCTGGATTGCCTGTGGCAGGAGCCGAATATGAGAGTAGCCCCTGTAGGGAGAAGGACTCCAGGTAGAGTCTATAGCTGGAGAGATCCCAGAGCCCTGTGACAAAAGGGAAACTCCCCAGGCATCCAAGCAGCTCTGACATGCCTTGCAGGATGGGCCTTGTCTGACCACTGCTTTCAGAACATGCCCACACCATTTAAGTATGGAGTGTGGACGAAGTGTAGGCTCCTCCAGCCCTAGTGAGCAGACAAAGCAAAACTCTGAACAAGAAGAGGAAATACCTTGGTTGTTAGAGATGACACTGAGAGATTCCTGGGAGTGAATCCTAATAGTGATAGTGACGCTGCAATAATTCCAGGTAAAGCCTTGGAGAAAAAAGTGTCCTGGCCACAGAGCATGCAGAAGCAATCGGAGGAAATGAAACCAGCTGGGGAGGAAATAGTGGTAAGGGAAATGGACACCGTAGAACAGACAGTGGGCTGATAATATGGCCTGGAGTCCATTGCTTAGGCACCACCAGTGCCAATCGAATGCAGAGAAAGGAAAAACTAGCTTATTATGCTCAGAAGGCAGGCTAAACTGAATGCTTTCCGATAAGTTAGCGAACTCCAAGCATCATTTTAAGCTACCTTACATAGGATTTGACTACCTAAGCAGTATGAGTACAATAAACTCTTACAGGTGGCAGAAGAAGATAAAGAGGGGTAAATAAAAACCTGGCCAGTTAAAATGACAGCTGTGTTTGACATCTTAAACTTCAGTTACGCTTGTAGCTTCAAGGAAATAGGGACAGGAGGTTCAAGATGGTGCCTGAGGCCCTTTTTCCTGCCCTAGTACTCTATGAACTGTGCCAACCCATTGTCTCTAAATTTTAGAATTGGACACCTATTAGATTGCAAATGCCCTGAAAATTAGAAAGGACCAGAAAGAAAACAACAACTCAAGAAGGAAACCAGAAATATCAAAACAGAATTGAAAAACTGAAGGAAAAAAAGAGGAAAAAAATCTAAAAAATATATATAAAAAATTGATCTTGAAAAAACATCAGAGAGAGACAATTTAAGAATTATTAGGCTATCTGAAAACTATAATCAGAAAAATGTCTGGATACCTTATTTCAAAAAATCACAAATTAAAATGGACATTTAGTGACCCAAAATTTGGCTAGCAATAAAATAGTCTATTTTTTTTGTTAATCTGTATATTTCATATTTTTAAAGTATTCATCTGTTTCCTCTAAGTTATCAATTTTGTTAGCATATAATTGGGCAAAGTAGTATTTGATAATTTATTTTTCAATTGTGAATTCTCCTTTTCAACTTTTGATATAAACAATTTGGTTTTCCCTTCTTTTTAAGAATCAGGTTAGCTAACTTTATTTTGATAGCTTTCTTCTGACAAAACCAGCTCTTAGTTTCATTTATTAATTGAGTGATCTTTTTGCTTTCAATTTTATTAATTTTTTCTTTAATTTTCAGAATTTCTACATTATTTAGTTGGGGATTTTTCATTTGTTCAAAAAATTTTTAATTGAATGCTCGATTCATTTCTTTGCTCTTTTGTTGATGAAAGCATTTATACATACACACACACACACACACACACACACACACACACATATATATATATAAAATTTGCCCCTCAAAACTGGTTTGGCTGAATTCCATAGATTTTGTTATGTTATATTATGTAACATGTAACAAGACAAAGAGAGAAAAAAATGGCTGCTTGTTATAGTTGGTTATGCAAAGGGAGAAAGGTATACGTGTTAAGAAGAAAGTGTATTACTAGTTACAGGAGATAGAAAAAGAATGTGTCCTTGTTAGTCTAGCGATTTGCACTAAATGCAAATAGCTTGTCTCACTACTCATGAGACAAGAGAAAGTAGAGAAGTACAAATTCTTGGGCTAAGTCCTTCTTTGTAGCAATTAAGGGAGGAAAGAAGACACTGAAGGAAACCAGCTGTTGTTAACTGGCCCGCAGTTCATAAAAGGGTCATACATAGCAAAAATGAAAAACAACAAAATGGAGTTAATTATGTCAATTCCTAACAGACCACTGAGCTCTTAAAAATTCACTTTTCTTAGAAATTTACTTTCGACAATAAGAATAGACAGTTTTCAAAGGAAAAAATCTAAACCATCAACGATCATATAAAAATGCTATAAATTGTGAATAATTTAACGAGTGTAAATTCTTTGAAGAAATGAGACAAGCATTTATTGAGCCTTTATTATGTGCCAGGCACTCTACAGATATTTTCTCATTCACTCTGGGAGGTAAGTGCTATTATTACCTCATTTTTGTCATTCAGTCATTTTTCAGATGTATCCTACCCTTCATGACTCCATTTAGGGTTGGTTTTTTTTTTTTTGGCAAAGGTGCTGGAGTGGTCTGCCATTTCCTTCTCTAGCTCATTTTGTAGATGAGGAAACTGAGGCAAACAGAGTTAAGTGACTTGCCCAGGATCACACAACTAGTAAGTGTCTTGAGACTGGACATGAACTTGGAAAGATGAGTCTTTCTGACTTCAGGCTTGTTGCTCTGTGCACGATGGCGCCACCTAGCTACGTTTTTGTTTTGTTTTTTGTTTGTTGTTTGTTTTTGGCACGGGGAGACTAAGGCGGAGATTATGTGACTAGTTAGTAGTTGCCTGAAGCCAGTCTCTTTTATCCCAGCACTTGGAGATTCTTCCTCACACATATCAGACTGGCAAAGATGACGAATGGGGAAAATTATAGACATTGCAGGAGCCACGGGGAAGCAGGTACACAGTGCCTCTTATTGGAGCTGTCACCTGGTCCAGCCATTCTGGAAAGAAATTTGGAACTGTGCACACCTACACATACCCCTACTAGGGCATAGACCTCAAAGAGATCAAAGAAGAAGAAATGGATCTATATGTAAATTTTTTAAAATTACAGCAGTGATTTTTGAGATAGCCAAAAACTGGAAACTAAAGGGGTGCACTAAAGGACTGGCTAAGCAAAGGGTGGTATAAGAACAGACATTGGGGTGCCAAAATCGGCCTGGAGTCTATTGGCCAACCATCAATTAAACGCAGAGCAAGGAGAAACCAGTTTACTGCTCAGAGGGCAGGTTAGCCCCAAACCCTTAATTCTAGGGGCTTCATTCTGGCCGTTTGTCCTGTCTATATCTTGCTTTCTTTGTTAGTATGTTGGCTCTCACTTTAGACCGTAAGCTCCTGGAGGTCAGGGAATGTCTTTTGCCTCTTTCTGTGTCTCCAGCACTTAGCACAGTGCCTGGAACATAGCAGGCGTTTGATTTTTTTTTCCGATTGATAAACCAGCAGAGCCCCAAGCATCAATTTCAGCTACTTTAATGCATGCGATGGAATATTACTGTGCCATAGGAAAATGGTAAAATGGATGATTTCAGAGGACACTGGGAAGATCTTATGAAGTGAAGCGAAGGGATAGAAACAGAACAGGGAGGACAATTTTCATTACATAGAATAACTTTGAAGGACTCTACAGCTCTGATCAACACAGCGATAACCCTCTATTCCAAAAGAACGAGGATGAAGCACACCATTCGCTTCTTGATAGAGAGCAGATGAACGGACAATTCAGAGACGTGCATTTTCGGACCTGGCTAATGGGATTTGTTCTGTTGGACCAAGCAGCGAGGCATGAGGGAATTTGGAGGGTGTTTTGTTTGGTTTTGAATTTGCTCATTGGGAAGGGGGATGGCGGAAGGGCAGTTTAATTTTTCAAATGTTTAATACTTGAACAGACAAAAGGCGGCGTGGCTCTGCTCAGAGTGTAGCAGCTGAGGCCCAGGAGCTCCATCCTGTGTCCCTGAATTTCAGAAATCTGACAGTGGCTACAGGGCAGTCGTCTGAGGTCCTGATTCTGGAAGTATTGTGCCGAAACGAGGCGCAGAGCTTGGGCACTTTGCTGCTTGTCTGTACAGGACCCCAGAGACAGGGCAGAGCCGGTAGGACATCTCCACCTGGCAGCAGGTTTGGAATCCAAGGATTCTCTAGTCTGGAATTTAGAGGATGGGATTGAAGAAAGAGGCCAATTCCTGAGCCTCGGGGGGGGGGTTGAGGGGTGCGGGCGCACTGAAGCCCCAGGCTCCCTGAGTCCAGCCCACATGGCCCCACGTTTGCGAGCTCAGCTTGGGCCTCCTCCTCCAGGAAGCCTTTGGCTGGACGCAGAAGGCGATCGCCGGTCTTCTAGGGACCCAGATCAGGGACGGAAGGGTCTGGCCCAACCCCTCGGGGAGCCAGGACCCGCCCCCCAGGCTGGACCTTGGGCCCCGCCTTGACTCCACTGCCCTTTCCTGCCATCAGGCCCTCCCACTTCTGACCTTCTGGTGAGTTTCCCCCAGGGCCTCCAGAAGCACGGGCAGGCACCCATCCTCAGTTTCCCCATAGGCCCCTGCTCTTCCCCGTAAAGACTCAGGTATCTTGTCACCCCCTTCCCCCCCCCCCCCCGGCCTCCAGCACTTCCACTTCAGTGATCAGATTTCTGCCCCTCTGCTCCCAGCTCCCCGCCTCGGCTTCCTTTCCGCTAGGGCCTTATCCTCATCAGCCCCCCGGGAGCCGGTTTCCCAGTCTCGTCCCTAGTTGCCCGGGAGGGACCCAGGACTCTGAAGTCCCGGGGTCTGAGTTCCACCACAGGGACTCAGGCGACCCCTCCCCCAAGGAAGCCGCCCACTGCCCGCCCTGCGGAGCCCGCTTTCAGCCCCGCCCCCACCTGCCCCGCCCCTAGAAAGCCGCCCCCTCTGCAGGCTTCCAGGACCTGGGCTTCTGGGCTTCTGGCCTTCAGCCCGTATATCCCCCCTCAGGACCCCGGCCCCTAATCTCCAGGGCTTAACGTCCAACACAGAGACCCAGGCACCCTCCTGTCCCACTCCCCAGCACCCACAGGCACCCAAATTGCCGGCTTCCACAGCTCCAACTTCAACACAGGGACCCAAGAGTCCTGCCCCCTCTTCCATCAAAGGGCCCCACACCTCCTTTAGCTTCAGCACAGAGACCTTGCCCTGCTGCTTCTCCAGCTCCCCTCCTGGCACTCAAGTGTCCTTGTCCGACCCTACAGCACTGTTCTAGTGCCCTGGGTGTCTTGCCTCCCAGACCCTGCCTCTGCTCCTCTAATTCAATCCTCATGGTCCCTTTCTTTCACAGGACTGAGGGTTTCTTTCCCAGGCTCTCCCTCTCCTAGGACCCTCTCCTAACCTCAGACTTCTTTCCTCTTACCATTTCCAAGCCTGCCCATCCCAAAGTCCTCCCCATCCCCTGCCTTCCTGAACTTTCCACCCTCCTTCCCAGATCAAACAGTCAGGTGCCTAGAGATCCTGTATGGGAATGATGGGGATCGGGGAGAGAAGGAAGGCAATGGAAACAAATTTGATTCAGAAGGACCCAAAATCAAGGTTGTGAGATAAAATTATCCATCTGTCTATTGGTTAGGTACCACCGTCAATCATCGATCTACCAGGCAGTGTCATGAGCCTCACAACATTATACCAGTCAGTTCCTGCACTTTGATGGTAAGTTTCAAGCTACATTATATGGCTTTTAGTTGTGTAAACTGAGTAAGTACAATGGAATTTCAAAGAGCAAATAAGGGAAGATGATTCACACATCAAAGAACAGAAGGCTGAAGGGAAAGATCTACATCAGGTAAGACAGAAAGTACGGATAACTCCTGGGCTACGACTGACCTCTCAACTACACTTTGCAGACCTGCCAGTTATGTGAAGGGCCTTATCTTCAGTAAATAAATGGCAGTGAGAAAATTAAGCCAGAAATTCTATTCTCACAGTTGTTTTAGTTCAGGCCTTCTTAGTTTCCAGCTTGCTTTCTTTCTCTTTTGGTCTCAGTCCCTCCTCTGAGGACAGGGCTGGGGGCTCCAAAATTTCTTGGGACCTCCCAGCCTTTACTGCTTGTGCGGATGGCCAGCCTCCTGCCTGGGAGGGCAAAGACAAGACCCCTCCTCCTCAAGGATCCTTGTCCGGCTCCAGCTCAGCCAGCACAGGATCCAGGCCTGGGCCAAGACAGAAGCATGGAGCCAAAAGGAAGGAGCCCGTCTCAGTTAAGTACAGGCGGTCCATGTACTTGATAAACTGTCAGTTAGTCAATAAAGCTTCAAACTGGAACATTTCCAGAGACAGGAGAAAAGCCAAAGAGGATGGTGTACTAAACAAGGTCCATTATGTATACATTGTTTCATTTAAACATACATCCTCACTTTAGTACTACCAACAGAGCCTCCTTCTGAGCTTCTTTCGTTGTCTCTTGTATAACTTTCATGTGACACTGGGTTTGCATGTGACATAATGACAATAATGCTAGCTGACATTTATAAAGTACTTAGGATGTACCAGGTGCTTTGTAACTGTTATCTCATTTGATCCTCATAACAACCTTGGGAGGTAAGAGTTATTATCCTCATTTTACAATTGAGGAAACTGAGGCAAACAGAAGTTAAGTGACTTGCCCAGGGTTACACAGCTAAGTATTTTAGGCTGAATTTGAACCAAGAACTTCTTGACTCCAAGCCCAGACCTCTATCCACTGTACCACCTAGATTCTCTTGAATATAAAACCGCTGATCTCTATTACACATAAATGGGGGCTTTCCCCCCATTTCTAGCATTCCTCCCTATAACTTCTTGCCCTCCCATTTTTATTGAAAGCTCTCCTTTGTAGAAACTAAGTGCAATCCAGCAAACTATGTCACACTTTAGTCTTGTCTTGAAATGCTTTGACTGGAGTGCTGGAGTCTTTCCTAGCTCTTTTTCTTGACAGTGTTGTAGACAGTATACAAATGTTCTCCTCGTTGTGTTCACTTCACCCTGCCTCAGTTCACACAAGTCTTCCTGGGTCTTTCTGCATCCCTCCCATTCACCATTTCTATTTCATTGATAGACCAGATTTTATTCAGCCAGTCCCCACTTGATTGGCTCATACTTTGTTACTGATTTTGGAATATTTTGGCACATGAGTCCTTTTCCTCTGTCTTTGATCTCATTGGGTTAGCAAACATTTATTCAGCCCCAATTAAGTTGGATCAAGTTTCAATAACACAGCATCTCAGAGGCTGCAGGGACTTCAGCAGTCACCTTCCTACCCATGCTGAAGGAAAATACCCTCTACCACACACCCCATCAGTCCATAGAGATATCCAATGCGGGGGGGGGGGGAACCCATCTCCTTCTTTGGGCAGCTATTAGGAAGGTTTTCCTTCAAGTCTTAATTTGCCTCTTTCCACTACCCCTTCCCCCATCACCTGTGGTTCTGTGCTTCTGCCAAGCCTTTCAAATATTTGAAGATAGATACTATTCATGTCGTTTTTACATATGTCAATATAATGCTTTAAAATTATTTTTGTTAGTGTGATGTGTTGTTTAGAGTTTTCCTCATATTGAGCTAACCTTGAATTCCCAGTGTAAAACTAGACATACATAGGACATAGCCTTTTTAATATGTTGTTGTGGCCTATTTACTAGTGTTTCATTTTAGATTTTTGCACCAATATTTCTTAGGGCTATCAATAATGATTTCAGACAATGTTACAGGAAAAAGTCATACAGTAAAAAGGGAAACTACATTATGCTAAAAGGCACCCTAGAGAATAAACAATACCAATTATATGTATGTAATACTATATATGGTTTATATATACACTTAAATATGTATATATAAATTATATATATGTACATATAATAGCACAGTATTGCCTCTAAATACTTAAAGAAAAAGTTAATTAAACTTCAAGGAAAACCATATAGCAAAGTTTTAATAATTGGAAGACTCAATGTATCCGTTTCAGAGTTCAACAAACCTAACAAAAAGACAAACAAGGAAAAAGTTAAGGACCTGAGTAAAAATTTAGAAAAATTAGAAAATATAAATCTCTAGTAATTACTGAATGGAAGCAGAAAGGATTTTACATGTTGTTCAATTATATGTGAATACTGAACTTATATTAGAACACAGAAATGTCACAAACAAATACAGATAAGGCTAAAATTTAAATATATCTTTTTCTGACCTCATTGCTATAAAAATTACATTCAGTAAAGAGCCTTTGAAGAAAAAATAAAAAAATAATTGGAGAATAAATAATACTTGAAGCAGTGTATCACTTACCACCTGTGTGACCCTGGACAAGTCACTTAACTCCAATTGCCTAGAAAAAAATATGGTAGGTCAAAAAGCTAAGAACAGAAACAATGGAAAACTTCATTAAATGAAATGAAAACAATGCAACAATTGATCAAAACTTATGGGAAACGCCTATTGCAAAATTATTGCAAAATTTACATCTCTAAATGCTTTAGTAAATAATAAAAAATCAATGAATTAGGCAGGCAACTAAAAAGGAACCTAGAAAATCAACAAACCACCCTCCCCACTAAATACTAAAATAGAAAATCTGAAAACCGAAGAATAGATGGACAAATGATCCAGGATAGAATCTTCTCAAGAAGATAGGAGGAGATGAGCTCAGGTGTGTAAGCAGGGGGTTTGGCCTTGTCAAGAGAAGGACATCTTCTTTGTCAGAGACTGGGGGAAAGAAAGCAAGCAGAAGACAGGATAAGGGGTGGGGGGGAGGTTTCAAGAGGAAGAGAATAGTAGAAGGGAGTTCATGTTGATTGGTCTAAATTTTCTGAGTAAAGGCCTAGTCTTCAGTTGAGAGGAGAGGAGGGAAAGGTTTGGGGAGCTTGAGAAGGCTTGGAATAGCTTTTGTGGGGAGTATAATAGGGAATTGATTAAGGTAGACTAAAAAGACTGCCTTGCTACATACAGCAAGGGCTCAGTTGATGTTACATCAAATGTGTTGGTAATATGCCCAGTCAGTGTGAACGTGAGACTTCCTCTGCCTATTTTGAGTCCAGCAGCTGGTGAGAAGGAATGGAGGAGACAGATGGGAGTAATCCAGGACTGAGCTTTGGCAGGAGATGAATGGTGATAGGACAAGGGGGTGGGGGCTTGACAGCAGAAGACAGTGCAGAGTTAAAAGGACTCGCTGTCACTGATGATGGGTCTGATGAGGAAGAAGTCTCACATCACCTCTCTGTCTTCTCCATAGATCCTATGGAGCCTCAAAGAGCACACATGAAATATGCACTTTCATCCTGACTCCATAGAAAAAAACACTTTATAAGGACACTTGTCTCAACCACTCTCCAGCCAGCACAAACTGCTTTTCTCAACATTCAACTTGCCTCTTGAAGATCGTGGTTTAAAATCCTGGCCCTGACGCTAGCAGTGTGACCTTTGGACAGGGCAGTTGACTTTGCTGGGCCTTAGTTTTATCCTCTTTAAATTGAAATTAGACAAGATCTTAAAGTTTCTTCCAGCTCTAAGTCCTGTGCCCTTTGGTGTTTCAGGATTCAGTGACATTTCAGGACGTGGCTGTGGAGTTCACCCGGGAGGAATGGTGCCTCCTGGACTTCTCCCAGAAGGTGCTGTACCGAGATGTGATGCTGGAGATCTCCCAGAACCTGCTTTCCCTGGGTAAGGACAGTGTGCCCTCAGCCCTCCACCTGCCCCTAGGATTTGGAATCTCTCATTGCAGGGAGCACCTCTCATCTCCACCCACCCATTCCCCTGTCCTTCCACACTGCCTGTTGCACACAGTATCAATAATTTATCAATTATTAGAGAGCAGAGATCCCAGTTACTTTCTGTCCCAGAGGAAGACTCTGCCTGTTCCCTGTCTTCATTGAAGGTCTTTGCTTTGTCTAATAAGAAGCTGGGAACTTTATCTGTTACTCTTCAGGCTCTCCCTTGCCTGTTCTAGGGAGTTTCATATGGAAAAAGAAATGGAAATAACAGAGTCTCAGATTTGGAACTGATCTCAGAAGTTATAACAATAATAATAATAATAATAATAAACAATAGCTTCACTTACATAGTGCTTTAAGATTTGCACAGCACTTTCCACGTGTTATCTCATTTGATAATCATAGCAACCCTGAAAATTAGCTGCTAATATTATTATTTTTTTATTGTTATTCCCATCTTGCAGATATAGAAACTGAGTCTGTAAGAGTGATTTGCCTAGGGTCACACAGCTAGTAAGAATTTAAGACAGTCTCTGAGCTCTGAAGTCTTCCTGACTTCTGCATCTGGCATTCTATTATGCCACCTGTGTACTTCTGATTATCTGGTCTAATATTTTCCTGCACATGAATTTTTTCTGTAGCATCTTTAAAAAATGGCCACCCAGATTTTGCTTAAAGTCCAGTGTCCTTGTTCTTCCTTGATGTTTCTTTTGAAGTCCAATGCTGATGGTAGCATGCCCTATATTCTACCCAAACCTAAATAAGAATGAATGCCCTCTATAACATGATGACAGGTGGTCAGTTGCTCTTCTGCTGGAGACAAAGAGCCAATTTACTCTTTTCCAGTTATCTATATGCCCTTTCCAGACTCCCATCCAATAACTCCTGGCAACACCCTATAGACCATCTCCTGGGCATCACTCACTGGCCCTTCCTAGCATAGCCCCTTTCCCTGAAGAGAAATGTATTCTAAGGTTCTCTCTATCCTCAGCCCTTCCTTATTTGCCATGAGTAGGGCTACCAGCTCCCAAAGCCAATTGGATCTCCCAGTTGGACCAAAGGGAAGTTCCATGGATACAGGAGAGGCAAGCTCCAGGAGACTTCTGCCCAGGTGAGTATGTGAAATCACATAGGACTGTTAGGTAAGGAAGTCAAAGTCTCAAAATAATCTTGGCTATGCTTTTGACGTGTTGGTTGGAGAGTTCTTGTTGAAGTCATCAAGGCCAGTTAAGATGAGGCCATCATTGATGTTAATTGGCATGCTCTTCCCCTTTTGTAATGCTCTTACTTAAAAAGATAGGGGAGGGAGAGTGAAAAGGAGGAAATTCAATTCAATAAATATTTATTAAGTGCTCACTATGTGTCAGGCCCTGTGCTAAGCATTGGGGATACAAATAAGAAAAAGAAATTTTCTACCCTTAAGGAGTTTACAATCTGATGGAAGAAAATACAGAAAAGGAAACTGAGAAGGGAGAGGTAAGAGGGACTCTGCTGGTGGGAGAATGATGTTGTGAGTCTGAACTAAGGAGAACCACTGATGGAAAATGTTACCTGGAAAGTTCTGAACCCTCTGTAAAGGAAGACTTTGGGAGGAACTTATTGCTGGCTCTCCCACCCTCCAAAAAGAGGAAAGAGGTGACTGTAGGATCTGGGAAGGCATTGACTAAGTCATCAAAAGCTGAATCAGTCAGCCTGGTGATGAGATTTCAGGTGATCAGCTTACCCTGGGGAAAGCATGATGTTCCAAGCTTAGCAAAAAATTGAGAGTAAAAAGTGCAACAGAATAGCATAGAGGGAAGTATGCATTTAATGTTGATAACTTCTAAAATGAATTTTACTGATATATCTTATATCAACAAACTGTTTTATATTGACTTTTTATATACACACATATATAATCTAAGTAAATTTATTTACTAAATACACTAAATACATGGCCAATTTTTGTTGAAATGTCATGCCAAAGATGACAAAAGGAGGGCAGCTAGGTATTTCAATGGCCATGTATTTGGATACAAAAACCTCTAGAAAACAGAAATAATAAACATATGATTTACTAACAACAGTATAATAAAAAGCACATTCAATGAAAGACCTTTTAAGAAAAGAATAAAAATTACTTAGAAACTAAATATTTGAATCCAAAAGAGAAATAGGAAAATTCATAGAAATGTAAGCTGTAATAAAGGAAAGTACCAGAAACTACGTTGCCAAATTATATGTCAACAAAATCCAAATATAGAAAAATGGCTTAATCTGTAAATGAGCTCCTAAGGGGATGGGGGGAGGACTCAGCATCACAAATTCTATCAAATGTGCAAAGACCAATTAATCCAATATTATGTAAAAGCCAAAAATTGGAAAAGAAGGGATCTTAACCAAAATCATTTTATGATAAAATCTGGTCTTGAAACCTAAACCAGGGAGAGAAAAAGTAGAGAAAGAAAACTACAGAACAATCTCTCCAATGAATATTAATGCAAAAATATTATATAAGATATTAACAAAGGATCTACAATAACATATTAAAAAGATGATATACTATGACCAGATTAGATTCATAACAATGTAGAGGTGGTTCAATATAAGAAAAACTGTAAAAAATAACTAAACTGTGTATCTCATTAGTTGCTGAAAAAGCTTTGTAGAGAACAGAAATTCCATTCAAAGTAACTACAGAATATATAAAATATTTCAGAATTAGCTACCAAGACTCACACAGACACTCTGAATATAATAATGAAACACTTAAAACAGAAATAAAAATTGATCTCACACTATTTTTCTCTCTCTTCCCCATGATCTCTCAAAGCCTTCAATCATAACTGTAATTCTTTTTAACGCCACGTAATAGAATTATCTTGGACCTAGATATTTATTTTGTTTATTTTTTTTTGCCAATTTACAAGCATTTGCCCTCTCTCCCTCTGAACTTCCCCCTCCCTCCACTGGAAAAAGAAAAAGAAAATCTCTGTAACAAATACACATAGTCAACCAAAACAAATTTCCTCAATAGTCATGTGCTTATGTTTGTCTCACAATGTGTGTCTCACTTGAATGTCTAGTCCACCATCTCTCTGTTAGGAGGTGGGCAGCATTCTAAATCATCTGTCCTTTGGAGTCATGGTCGATCCTGGTATTGACTAGAGTCTTTCAAAATTATTTTTACAATGTTATTGCTGTAGTAGAAGTTGTCCTCAGGAAATCTATGTAGTTCTGCTCACTTCACTCTTCAGTTCAAAGTGAAATTCAAATGACACCCCATCCAATAGCCTCTTCCTCATTGTATAGACTTATATTTGTACCCCCTGATTATGTGATATAACTCTCCCCATTTCTTTCCTAGCATATCTTCCCCCACCCCTTTCATTTCTTCTTTTAAGATCATCAAAATATAGCAAAAGTCATTCTGGGGCTCTCTGCCTTTTTTGGCTCCCAATCTGATTTCTCATTAACCCATAGTTCTCAAGGGATACTTGTGTCCTCTCTTTCCCTTCTCATTAGAATACAAAAACTTCATCTTTATAAAATCTTCCAGTTGCTCACTTGTCTTCATGTTTTTGTTTCTCTTTATTCCAGTGTTTGTATCTTGGAGGTTGTACTTATCTCTGGTCTTTTCATCAGGAATGCTTGGAAGTCAATTATACCATTAAAATGGACCTGGAGACGCATATAGGTATGTGTTTGTATGTATTTATGTTTGTTTTTATCTTTTTTTCCCCCTTCAGATGAGGAGACTGGACCAGAAACCAAGGAGTCTACTCCAAAGCTGAGAGTTTCCTATGATTTCAGTTTGAAAGAAATTGGGAGATGTGGTACCAAGGTAGAGAAGAAGCCAGACAACTGGGAAAGTCATTCTGGACAATTAAAGATTACCTTTAGGCAAACTCCTAGTGCAAGGAGAGATGATAAATGTAATAATTTTGATCAAAGAGTCCAGAGTCAAGAGTCAACTGTTTTTGTACGACAGAGAGTTCTTAAACAAAAGAGTCACAATGAATGTGATACAACTGAAAATGGCTTTAGACAATATTCAGAGTTAATTCAGTGCAGGAAAATCACCTCAGTGACAGGATATTCTAAGTCTAATGAATTTGAAGAACACTTTAATAACCAGTTAGAGCTTATTCATCACCATGGGAAGCATACCGGAATGAAAGCTCTTCGTGTAATGAATCAGAGACAGCCTTCAGTTTGAACCCAGACCATACAAGACAACAGAAAATTCCTACTAGAGAAACACCTTATAAAAATAATGAGTGTGGGGGACCCTTTGGCCAAAACACAAACCTTATTTACAATCAGAACATTCATACTGGTGAGAAGCCCTATCAATGTCATGATTGTGGCAAGGCCTTCAACCAGAAGTCCCATCTTATTGTACATCAGAGAATTCATACTGGAGAGAAGCCCTATAACTGCAATGAATGCAGTAAAGCCTTTAGTCAGAGGTCACACCTCATTGTACATAACAGAATTCATACTGGAGAGAAGCCTCACAAGTGTAATCATTGTGGAAAGGCTTTCAGAACAAGATCCACTCTTATTGTGCATCAGAGAATTCACAGTGAAGAAATGCCTTATAAATGTAATGAATGTGGGAAGACCTTCAGCCACAGTAGAGCTCTTCTTAGACATCAGAATAATCATACTGGAGAGAAGCCCTATCAATGTGATGAATGTGGTAAGGCCTTCAGCCAGAGGTCTCACCTTGCTGTACACCAGAGAATTCACACGGGAGAGAAACCTCATGGGTGTCATGAATGTGGTAAGGCTTTCAGTGAACATTCATCTCTTATCTGCCATCAGAGAATTCATACTGGAGAGAAACCTTATGAATGTCATCAATGTGGAAAAGCTTTCAGAACAAGCTCTTACCTTGCTGTACATCAGAGAATGCATAGTGACGAAATGCCTTATAAATGTAATGAGTGTGGGAAGACGTTCAGCCGTAGTAATGACCTTCTTAGACATCAGAATGATCATACTGGAGAGAAGCCCTATAAATGTAATGAATGTGGGAAGACCTTTAGCCAGAGCTCAGCTCTCGTTAAGCACCAGAAGATTCATACTGGAGAGAAACCTCATGAGTGCCATGAATGTGGTAAGGCTTTCAGAGGTCATTCATCCCTTATTTGTCATCAGAGAATTCATACTGGAGAGAGACCTTATGAATGCCATCAATGTGGAAAAGCTTTCAGAACGAGATCTAACCTTGCTGTCCATCAGAGAATTCATACTGGAGAGAAGCCCTATAAATGTGATGAATGTGGAAAGGCCTTTAGCCAGAGCTCCAACCTTGCTGTACATCAGAAAAGTCATTCTGCTTTGAAATCTCATGAATCTAATTAATGTGTACATGCCTTTTGCTATGTAACATAGACCTGATAAGATATCAGAAAATTTACCTTGAAGATATAGTCATAAAAAAATGTAATGATCTTTTCTCTGAATTCCTTGGTTCATTAATTCTTACTATCTAAAAATATTCCATGACATTCATATATGGTTTCTTTATCCTTTCCCCAATTGACTAGCCCCCTTCTTTGTTTGAAATTCTTTGCTACCAAAAAAATTGCTGCTTTGAGTAAGTTGGTATATATCAGACTTCCCCCCTCTCTCAATTATTCTGTCAGGAATAAGCCTAATAGTAGAGTCACTAAGCCAAAGGGTACAGACAAGTTTGCTCACTTTTTTGGGGGAAATTCCAAATTAATCTTCAAAATGGTTGGACCATTTCACTTCTCCATAAAAATTGTATTTGTGTATCCATTTTCACTTAGCCTTTCCAATACTGAGAGGCAGCTAGGTGGTGCAATGGATAGAACACTGGGCTCAGAATCAGGAAGACTCATCTTCATGAGTTCAAATCTGGCTTCAGACATTTTCTAGCTGTGTGATCTTGGGCAAGTCACTTAACCCTGTTTGCCTCAGCTCCTCATCTGTAAAATGCACTGGAGAAGGAAATGGCAAAACACTCCAGTATCTTTTCCAAGAAAACCCTAAAATAGGGTTATGGAGGGTCAGACACAATGGAACAACAACTGCATTATTGATGTTTTCCTTTTGAGGGGTTCGTTTTTGGCCATTTGAAAAGTTTGAGGTAAAATCTCAGAGCCATTTTGATATTCATTTCTCTTACAATTTGGAGAATTTTTGCATGTTATTATTTGTGGTTTGAAATTCTTTTGCAAACTGTTTCTTTCCTTTGATAACTCATCTATTGGGCAATGGCTGTTGGTGTTATAGCTTATTTTTTTTTTAGGCAATTGGGGTTCAGTGACTTGCCCAGGTCACACAGGCTAGTAAGTGTCAACTGTTTGGTCTGAGGCCGAATTTGAACTCAGTTCCTCCTGATTTCAGGGCCAGTGCTCTATCCACTGCGCCACCTTGGTGCCCCTCTTGTTGTTATATCTTGGTGTCAGTTCTCTTAGTTGTCAATATTTTACTGGTGATAATTGGTTACAAATATTTTCCCCACTCTATAGTTTTTCTTCCTCATGTCTTCACTGGTTATATTTATGCAGATCTTTTAAATATTATGTAGTTAAAATTATTATTATTTTAAAAAAATCTCTATCCCTTGTTGGGTCAAGAATTCTTCCTCAATCAGAGTGAATAGTACATAAGCTTTTTCTTTTTGAAGTTTTTATGATGTACCTTTTGTAGTCAGGTCAGTTTAGGTGGTTTAAGGTGTAAGATATGAGACTAAATTGCTTTCCAGCATTCTCAGCAATGACTGTTAAAAAAGGGGGGGAATCTCTTAGTAATTTGTAATCTTGAGTTTCCTATTTCCACATCCTTCTCCATCTTGCTTGACTGGTCTGTTCTAATGAATTTTGTATGAACTTATACAGAGCAAAATAAACAGAATTATGAGAACAATATCTACAATATCTACAAGATTACAATGATGTATAAGGTGGGGTGGGGAGGGTATCAGATGAATCTCACTATCTCAGTAGGGCAAAAAGATTGATCACATACATATACCCTCACATAAAATGACCTTAATGTAGAAAATATCAAACTCAATGGAAAAAAAGCAGAGATAGGGAGAGGAGATTTAATAGGATGATGGGGGAAGGGATAATAGAAAAAAATAAACTGAATTTTGGGAGGTGGATCCTGAAGGAAGTGTTAAAAAGAAAAACAGAAAAGCAAAGAACTGAAACTAAGAAGCTGTCTATCAATTGGTAATATATGAATTGTGGTATATAAATTATTGGAATGTTATTTTGTCATAGACATGATGAAAGATATTGCTCCAGAAAAAAAAACCCTTAAAAAACTTACATGAACTGATGCAGAGAAAAGTGAGTAGAATCAAAAGAACAGTTTATACAATGGCAACATTATAAAGAGAAAACAACTTTGAAAGACTTCAGAATTCTAAGAATCCAGTGACCAACTACAATTCCAAATGACCAGTGGTGAAATATGCTGCCCATCTCCTGGTAGAGAAGTAGAGACTCAAGACATTATTTTGGACTTGACTAATGGGGGGATTTGTTTTGCTTGACTATACATTTGTTACAGAGGTTTTGTTTTATTTTCCAATGGGAGGAAGAGGAAATAAATGCTTATTATTTGTAAAACATAACATTAAAAGTAAAGTGTTCATCTAGAGAAAAATAAAAAAGTAGCCAAGAGATAAAGATGTAAGTAGAATTTAAAAAATAGAAATGAGAGAAAGTACAGCCAGTATGGGAGAGTATAACCATGGTGATAGTGTCATATTAGGAAGGGCTAATAAACGGGAAAAAAAGGGATGAAAAGGAGTTTATTCATTATAAAATAGAAATTCCAAAGGCCATAGTGGAAGGGAAGTATTGAGTTGGCTTAGAACATGGGTGGGATTGGGGGGACAGCTAGGTAGTGCAGTGGATAGAGCACCAGCCCTGGATTCAGGAGGACTTGAGTTCAAATGCAGCCTCAGATACATAGCACTTCCTAGCTGTGTGACCCTGGGCAAGTCACTTAACCCCCATTGCCCAACCCCCCCAAAAAAAAAACCCAAAAAAGATTAAAAAAAAAGAACATGGGTGAGATTGGGTTGATGGGAATGGAGATGACACAACATAAGGGGGCACTAGAGATAGTTTTCTCTCAAGTGGCTATTGATTAATTATTACAGGGATAAGGAGAAAATGGGGAGAAAGCACCACAATGTAATAATGAGTTGTAGGAGGGTAGGAAAACTCACAGTCTCCAAAGATGTTGCCTAGCTTTGGCCTATTGTTTCAGCAGGGCAGCTGGTGCAGGGGGGTGTTATTTTTGTGGGGGGAGGTGATTGATGGTGATCCCCTGAGCTGACAGGACTCAGTTGGATCAGGGCTGAACCTGCCAAATGCAGCTGACTCTTCTGAGAAGATGATAACTCCTTCAGACTTGTAGCAAGAAGAATGCATGAAGAATGATGGGAGAGGAGGCAGAAGAGAGGAATTAAAATGGGTGGAATGGAAGAGGAGAGGCCTCAGCACAATATGGAAAGAGACTCCCATTAAAGAGTATTCTCATAAAGGGTGTGGTAGATATCTGCCCTGGAAGATTGAGACTTTACAATAGGTTGAATGTGGGGGTAGATAGTACAGCGGGAAACCACCTTCCTTGAGAGTGTTGGGCCATCATAGAAAATGTCCTGTCTCAGGAGAAGGAAAATGAAAGCCCACAGAAGCTTTAACTCAATGAGGAAAATGGAGATTGAGAAAAGAATAACTAAGGTTATGGTTTTGTTGTTGTTGACTCATTCCCATCATGTCTGACTCTCTGCGACCCCATTTGGGGTTTTCTTGGCAAAGATACTGCAGTGATTTGCTATTTCTTTCTCCAGTTCATTTTACAAATGAGGAAACTGAGGCAAACAGGGTTAATTGACTTGCCCGGGACCACACAGCTAATAAGTATCTGAGGCTAGATCTGAGCTCAGGTTTTCTTGACTATAGGCCTGGCTCTCTATCCCCTGGGCCACCTAACTGCCAAAGACATGGAGTATAAATCAGACTATAACAGGAGTTAATATTTCACAGGAGGGAAATAGGATCAATGAAGGGGATGAAACAAAGATAAGAAAAATTATTAGAAAAAGGCCCAGAAGAAAACAACGATAATAAATGAAAGAAGTAGGAGAGGGTCAGAAAAGAGGGGGTTTTATAATAATCACTTAACAGAGAAGAAAAGTGGGGAAGATATAGATAACTAACTAAATAAAAG